AGCATTAGGACTAGTTTTATTTTCTCAGTGCAATATTTTCCAGTTTGGCTTCCGAGAGGTCCTTTTTTCCCTTCTTTTATGATTTCACCTTCTTCTCCTAAAACCACTACATGTAGGTAAAAAGATGCATCAACTATCTTTTGGACAACTACAGGTGCTGTGACCTCCATGAAGATGATGATTGTCATCTCCAATTTTCTGCTGTGATTCCCTAGCTGCTAACTGAGCACGCAATGTCCAAGACACGCTATTCTTCAACATTGAAGACTGTTGGCCAGGAACGGCAAATAACACTGCGTGAGTTCCAGAGCGCTGACCTCATTCCAGCTATGTAGTTCAAAAATTACCCTCATCCTACCATTGCATTAGTGCAAAACTTGCCCTAAGATTCATGCTGAACACCACCAGATCTCAAAGGTCCTCATTTTTCAGTCTGCCACAACATCCACCATCTCTCATTTAGAGCAATGAAATCTACCACCTTTGCTTTCAGACACCACAATAATTTGGAAAATTTTTCAACTCTCACAAATGAGAGAAAAGCAAAATAAAAGTCAGGACACAAAACACAGCAATGACATGTTTACTTTTTGGATAGCTCTGCTAAAACCACGAGAGCCATTCAACACAAACTACAATTTAAGCTGTCTTCAAGACAGCAGACTGGCAGAAGCCTGCAGAGAACATTCTGCAGGAGGAAAATCTCCTTCTAACCATCAGCTGCAGGCTTTTCAGAGACATGACAAATGGCCTAGACCAGACCCTTCTGTCTAACCCAGTACATTTGGTCTACATAAAGAATGGTAGAAATGGCTTCCAACCTTCGCAGCATCCCTGCTACTCTGCCCGCTTTTATACTGGTGATGAATGCACACCACTCAGTAAGGATTATTGATCTATATCCCCTTATGTAATTTATGTATTGGATTTTGAAGAAGTTGTGTTAAATGACGTGGGAAAAGCAGTTTCCATGTGCTCTGACCTGAAAAGCAGTTAGCACACACAGGACCCTGCTGCCAGATACTGTGCTCTAGGGATAGGAGAACAGCATTTCAGCTAAACACCTACGAGCAGTACACTACTTACCTCAAGGACTGGACTCGGAGACCAGAAAGGGGACAGAACTCCAGTCACATCCATAACAACCACCACTATCACCCTCCAATACATCAAAGCGGAGAGGAAAATATTAAGCAGCTTGTATACTCCTTTTTTTATGCACACAGTAAATCTGCAACTACACTCATCGATATAAGAGACTTGTCAGAGGATCTGTCATAACGTAACTACAATGGCTGGCACTGTTACTCACTTCTAGCATCCTAAACAAAACTACATCTATATCAGCAGCTCATTACTTATCTCAGGAAGCAGGACTGTTCAAAATTATACACAGGAGAAACTCAACCATTATGCTCACTTACATGCAATAACCAGCAAGGTTTTTAAAATAACATGTTTATAAAGCTTTCCTTTGTATAGCTTCTTCTTTAATATTTTTACCATTTTCATCCAGGGTAATTGCACTTCTTGTTATATCTCCAATCTTACTGCATTTCTGTTGCCTCTCATTTTCTAGTGAACACATGTACTATATTCTGTTTTTTCTCTTTAATAGTTTCCTTCAGCTTCCAAATGTGTCTTTTACTTCTTGCCTAAAACATCTTTTCTTTACAAGCAAAAAACCCAAGAAAGATGTTGAAGGTTTAGTCTATTTTCTTACAATGAAATATGCGGGGATTTTTCAGGTTACTCCTTCTACCTCTTATTGCAATTCTACACACTTTAGGAGCACAAGACCCCCCCAAACCCTTCTCTTCATCCATTCCTCTGTCCTTCCCTCCCTGGGCTACTTACCCCAAAGACAAACAGTCATATAACCCTTGGATCAGCCAGATGCCAGTTTTGCGTGAGAAAAAACGGAATTGCAAACACACACGCACAAACACGAAACAAAGATCACAACACAACACATGGCAGGCTTGACCCCTGGCCTACAAGTAACCTGTTACCCAGAAAAAACACTCGTCCTTTCTGGAAGACTGCTGTCTTCATGTGAATGACGGGACAAAGCTCAGAAGATTTAAACATTAAACCTCAGCGCACAGCCTCTGCTCTGTAGCTTACGCCACCTGGATAGGGGTTCCTTGGCAGGACAGACCCTGCACGCATCGTGAAGGACAGTAGCACATCAGTAGTCTCAAATAACCAACTGCTCGCCCATCAGCACACGACTAATGATGTAATTTGAAATGGAACTGGTAACGAAGGCCAAACAACAGCTAGTTGGCATACCTAATCCATTTTCATCAAGTCGTCCTTTGTGTTAACTTAAAGAGATCTGGAAAATTTATTGCACTTTGTAAAAACAACCTTTGGACTAAAATCTATCACACACTCCTTTGGTAAGTGGTGTGGTGCTACTAAATGTTGTAACATATCACAACAGGCATTTCTGAAAGCTGGTTCTTCCCTAAGGCTTTCCTCCACCCCAATGGCGCGCACGGGCCTACCGCCTCTGCTCCTCCCGATGCCGCTGCAGAGCGCGACCCTCCCCG